ACGTTTCCCCAGCCGTTGTTTAAAAAAGAAAAAAAAAAAAAAAAAAAAAAAAGAATCTTCTGGACAACAGCTAAGATAGGCATGCAGAAGTAGGAATATTTTCCTGCAAGTATAGTACAAAAAATAATACAATCAATCAATCATTCAATCAGAGACTAAACCTGCTGAGGGCTGTGATGAAGCTGCAGGGTCTAGACTGTGCAGCCTTGGTCAGCCTGCCCAGTCACTTTGAGTCTGATTCCATGGCTCCCTTAATACAGAGCTGTTATTTCTCTCTCCTCACATTGTCCCCCCATCTGCTACTTCCCCTTTGCTTGCTCATGAAATGAAAACACCATCCAATCCTTCCTTACCCATCGGCTGATGCCCACAGATCAGAACTTTTTGTATTGCAAATCTAACAGGTGTCTCTCTAATAACAAAGTGGCCCTTTCTCTTCTTCCTTCAGGTGGGAGTAGCTCTGAATTCTTCAATCCACTGTTAACTGTTCAATTTCCCCAAGCTGGTGTGGGACCAGCTGAGGTCCCATCTGCTCAGTGGAGGGGCTGTTCCATGCTTGGGTGCTGCTAGGTACATAGAGCAGCTCAGCACTCTGGCCCCAAGAGGCTGCCATCTGCTGGTGTTTCTGAGCTCTGACCAGCCAAGAGGTTCTGTTTAGACTGGGATAAGGGGTGGGGGCAGGTCTGAGATAGGGCAACTCTTTATGATGATAGCCACCCATTTTATATAGCACCCTCCAGCTTTCATGATTTTCACAATGATTCTTTCTTGTCCCCAAACATCTCAGTGAGGCATAGAACACCATTATGCCCGTTTAAAAGGTAAGGAAAGAAGGCTCAGGAGTTTATGCAAGGCAGTGCTGGGACTCTGGGGTTTCCCACTCATTCCCCTGAACAGGACCGTCTTACTACATGGGGCTGACGCGTGCCTTGCTTCCTACCACAGATGTGCCAAGCTCTGTGACAGGTTCCTCACACAGTCTATCTCACTTATTCTTAAACTCTGTGAGGATGGGGCCAGTACCTTTTTTATAGGTAAGAAAAATGAGGTCTATAAAGATTAACTTGCCTATACCCACAGTAATAGCTAGCAGAGAAACAGGTTGGGACCCAAGTCTACTTGAATGCAAGACCCGTGACCTTCCCACCCTGCCCTACAGTGCTCATCAGTACAAATCTATTCTGGGATATGAGTGTGTTTATGCATCTCTATGTGTGTATGTATAGATTAACCACATGCATGGATTCACACGTATGTGGGGTCAACCTGGTGGGCACTTGCACCTGCAGGTCCTTGTTTGGGAACATGTGCCCATGCATAAATCACCCCACATGGACAGACAGATGAGCACGTGTTCATGGAGCTCTGCCGATGTATGTGGGTATCTGCCTCACTTTGCTTGGCTTCTCTCCCAGTAGAGGGCCAGCGCTGGGTCAGATACCAGCAGCCCATGGTGTGACAGATGATTCTTGGGGCTCCTGGAGGTTGCTGCTCACTCCCGGGCACTGGGACCCATTAGAAGGAAGAAAAGATTGATTTATGCTGCTCCCCATCCTTTCTCTTATCTGTTGAGGCCCCTCTTGGCCACTTTCCTCAATGCTCAGGCTCTCAGAAGGCACAGATTAAAGGTTCAGAAAGCCTAATGTATGGAGAGTTTGAGGGCCTAGGGTGCTTCTTTGCTCAACAAATAGTTTTTAGGTGCCTCCTTAGTGTCAGGCCCTGGGAAGTTCTGAGAGGTCCTCAGAGCACCCGGATCATTCAACAGAAGGCTTATGAGGCTTGGGTTACCTTGTAGAATAATCATGGGGGGCAATCTGGGGGTAAGGCCCATCCCCCTGACACCCCACTTCTTACAGGCTGCTGGCAAGTATTAGACCATTCCTTTCCCATGTTCCCCCCTGCCCCCCCGGCAAGGGGTAAAATGCCAGGATTGGTGTGGAAGAGGAGGACAGGATGCCCAAGGGCCATGTTGTCTTCCTAGCCTTTTTCAACATCTCCACAGCTAAGTTTCCTTCTGTCATAAGTAGAATACAGCCCAGAGGCAAAAATCAGGAGCAGACACTGACCAGATGGCCCTGCTTTACCTCAGCCAAACTCCTCAGAAGCTATAAATGGTGAGGTGCCCTATCCCCTGAGCTGGAGTAAGTGCTATCTCCTCGTGGGAGAAGCAGGTAAGGGCTTCTGTCTTTTCCATTACCTGCCCCCAAGGAGGGAACACAGGTGGCCTGCTGCTCAACCCACCCCCAGGCCTCACCCCAAGGCACCTGGGCAGTCTGAGGGGCTGATGGAAAGTGGAGAACTTGGAGTCCCATGGCTGGCCCACTAAGTGAATCATCCCTCAGAGTGGCCTAAGGGGTTACTATTTCTCAGCCATAAACTTAAACCTCTGTAGAACCTTTAAGGCAAATCATGTTTTGAAGCCTACAAAGGTCAGAGAGGCCTGTTGCCTGGAACCCACACACCAGATAACCTAACCAGCTAGAACAGCCTCTGAGGCCATATTTGGTATCTGCATATAACTCAGTTATAAAGTCAGGCCTGGGCCTGAGGATGAGGCCCCCGCTCCATGCCCAGCCCAGGTGCTACCACAGAGGATATGGGGCTATCACCCTATAAGCTGCCCCTTTTACAAACTTACAGAGACCATTTTGCCCCCACCTCCCAACCCTTGAATAAGAAGCCCACTCCTTGGGTACAAAGCCTTGGAAGTTGTCCCACTCTGAATCACCCACCTCTGGAATAAATTTCATACCCAAAATTAGTTTAAAGAACTAATTTCCTGGAAAGTATCAAAGTTTCAAATATTTCAGCTGGAATTTGGAGCTGATTTTTTGACATTTCTTTCCTCTTTTAGAAGACAAGAGTTAGGGAAGAGAAGGAGAGGTAGAAACCACACACCCATATCTACCCCACAACTTTGAGAGAGATAGAGAGGACCTGCCTGCCCCTGCCCCTGCTTCCTTCCAGACATCCAGTCTTCCTCCTTGAAAGGCATTCTGTCCTGAGTCTAGGTCTGACTTTTGTCAGGATGGGAAAAGCTGGAGGGGAGTGAGGTCCCTGGCAGACCTGGCACACATTCCCAAGGAGAACTTTCCACTGACTTGCTCCTTCTCAGCTGGGGACAAAGCCAAAACCAGGGCACCAGTCTCCCAAAGGAATGAAGAGGCTGGATTTTGGGGAGGGAAAAGGGGCAAGGGCTATGTGGATGGGGACTTCAGTGAGATTTCCCAGGTTCTCCAAGTTCCCAATGCACTTGGAAGAAACAAGAAATGGAAGAATATCTAATTTAAAGACTAATTATAACTCCAATATAGGCTCTGCTACTGGCCTTTGGGTGGCCCGTGACCCTGAGACCTCAGTTTCCCCTATTATTAAATGAAGAAGCAGCTAGATAACTTCTGAAGTCCCTTCCAGCTGGGACAGTCAAAGTTTTATGACTGTCCCCAGCTGGGCCCAGACAGTCTGCCTGCCGACCTCCCAATGAAACCCTCCTTGCTGGCCTGGCCAACTTCCCACAGACTGTGCTTTGTTCTTCCCTACCCTTTCTTGCTCAGCCTATCCAACAGGCCCTCAGCAGCCAAGCCTCTACTCAGCTGCTAAGCCTCAGCCTGTTTTCCTCAAAATGCCACAAAAAGCTCATCTCTTTTAGATATCTGGTTTGATTAACATGAGTTTTGCCTCAAAGCACTACTCTTTCCATACAGACAAGCTCTATTCTCACATATAATGTTTCCACTATTTGTAATGGTCTAGGAGAGGAAGAGTATATCTTTCCCCTATTTTGGATGAAGATTTGTTTTCCTGATAATAACTTATCAGGCCCGAGGCAAAGGTCATTGGTTCTGAGCATATTGCTGATGGTAGTAGGATGACCAGCCAGCCCACAACCATCTCATCGGCTGACCACAGATGTGTCAGCTGAGGTTCACTGAGTCTTGCTTGCCGAGCTCAGCAGAACTTTCTAGCAGATCCATATACTCCCCAAAAATAATAATGGCTACTTTTTTAAAGCTACTAAGTATTGGGGTAGTTTGTTATACAGCAAAAGCTAACTGAGACAAGTATAAAGCCCATGCTCAGAAAGGACCCAAGTGGATGGGCATGTACTGGGTTTTGCAATTATTGTAGGAACAATGCTCCATCATGGTAGTAGCCTTGGCATGTGGCTACAGAGCTCTGAACGTGATGGGCTCAGTACAGGGAAATGATTTACCCAGGAGAGCATGCCCTTTACAAAGCGGCCAGGTGCTTGAGCAAGGGTAGGTCCAGCCATCCTCGGAATGTGGCACAACCTCCTATTTGCAGGATTAATGTGCAGACAAGTGCCTTTCTTCAGTGCTTGTACCAACCAGGGGCTGGCGTTCTGTCTCCATCAATCCAGGGTTGGCATGGAATTTTAAGAGTTAGACCATTTAAAAATAGAAGGACATTTTTGGATCATATTCATTTAACAAATAGTTACCATATGCTGACTATGGGCCAGATATATTCCAGGCACTGAGAACCCAGAAGTGCACCTTCATGGAGCCCACCTTCCCATGTAAATTAGAAGGGCCTTGAAAGGGAGGAAAAAAGGAATAGGGATAGTTAACTTTCCTGTAGTGGTTCTAAAATGTCTACAAATTCTTTGATGCTCATCTCTCCAAAGGTGGAACTTAATTCTCTTCCCTTTGAGTATGAAATGTACATAGCAACTCACTTCTAAACTATAGAATGTAGTAGAAGTAATGGTATGTGATCTCTGAGGGTAGGTCATAAACGACATTGCAGATTCCAGCTCATTCTATCCCTTGGGTCACTAGCTCTGGGCAAGTCAGCTGCCACATCATGAAGATACTCAAGCAGCTCTATGGAGAGGTCCACATGACAAGGAGCCGAGGCCTCTTGCCAACGGCCCTATGATTGAGCCCTCTTGGAAGTGGACCCTCTAACCTCGGTCAAGCCTTCAGAGACTGTAATCTCTGCTGCCATCTTCACTGCAACCTCATGTAAAACCCTGAGCCAAAAATTACCTCTAGCTAAGCTGTTTCAAATTCTTGAGCCATGGAAACTGAGATAATAACTGTTGTTTTAAGATGCTAAGTTTTGGGGTAATTTGTTACACAGCAAAGATAACTAATAATTCCCTCTATCCGTCTGCTTTTCCAATTTTCATCTAGTCTACCCTCCTTTATGTTTTCCATATACCAAATAATGGGGGAACAAAAGCCAAGCTATAGCAAGACAGAAGACTCTGGGGGAACTGAGCCTAGAAGGGAAGGTTCTATTGTACCAAAGTGGAAGAAATGAATACTTAACAGCACCAAGCACTTTCTTTACCTTGAAGCCCAGCCCCACATTATTTTGTGCTTCTTCTGGCTTCCCGGTCCCAGGAAGGGACTTAGACAAGAGGTAGAAATTTGGGGGCAGGATACACAGACTCACTTAAGCAAGATCTCATACTGGCCAGCATGCCAGGGCTGCACATTTTTTAGAACCAGGGTGAACACGTCCTCATTCTGTAGCACTTCGAAGTGGCCGGTGTCTTTGGAGAGGGCCTTGCCATCTCGGAGCCAGTGCACAGTGGGGAAGGGGTCACCAGCTATGGCACAGGAGATGAGGACACTCTGGCCCAGGGAGGCTGTCACTGAGCGAGGCTTGCTGATGAACCAGGGCTGGGTGCCGTCCTGTGGCTCTGGAAGTTGGCAAAGGGTAGAGTTAGGGAGGAAAGCCTCTCAGCAGAGCATCCACGCAGCTCCCCGTGGCAGTGAAGGTCGGAAGACAGCACGTTCCCCAAATAACAGCTTGCCTAGAAATAACTTTTATTGGATACAGCACTTCCTTTTTATGGCAAATCTGTCTTGGCTATGTTCTCAGAGGATAATATTAACATGAATTTGTATATCCAAAGCAAAGGAAGGTAGCCCAGAAGGTACAGGGCCACTGGGCTGGGCACTAATGATCTACATCAGATGTGATGATTAAGAGTCGTCACTTGCTTTATGTGCACTTAACTTGTCTCTCCTCTTAAAAGGAGGCTCTAAAGGCAAGGCCCTAAAAGGCCCATAACTCACATCGAATGCTATCACTGGCAAATTGTTATGGGTATTACGAGATTTCTCTCCCATCATTCTATGCAGCTGTCATCAGTGACCCAGAGAGGGCAGGGACTTCAGAAGCCAGGGAAGGGCCACTCAACCAGAGTCTGAGATGTAGGATGAGGAGCTGGTCCCTGGGTCTGGGAAGGACCAAGAGAGCACAGGGTACATAGTGGGAACAAAGTAGGCTCACGTGGTTCTTCTGCCTCCAAATCGCTTTTGGAGAGGCCACGCAGCACCTCCTCCCACTGCTTTCCCCGCCACTGTTCCCCGCCACTGGTCAGCCTCACCTTGCACCGTGAGCACGGCCTGGGTGCGAACAGCTCCGGCGCTATTCCAGGCTTCACAGGTGTATGTGCCCGTGTCCTCTGGGAACACCTCCTGGATACAAAGGCTGTGTCGAGTGCCTCTCTGTTCGAAGTGAAAGTCCTCTGACTCCTGGATCTCAGTCCCATTGTGAAGCCAGATGACTTCAGGGGGTGGGTTCCCTGAACGGGGAGGAAGGGCAGGGGCACTGGTCTGGGAGGTGCTTCCCTGGGCCACGCGGCACATCTGCACACAGTACTGTGACACTGTACTAAATATTTCACTAAACTCTCTATGCTTCAGTTTCCCATCCAGAAAACATTCTAACCATACCTACCTCATAGGATTGTTGGAAAGATTACGTTTATACAGCTCTCTTAGCAGCCCACTAGAATAGCCGATTAGAACAGCATCTAGCACAAAGAAAGTACTCAACTCATGTTCATTATAATTATTTAACAACAGGTTTGGGGAAGTGGAGAAATATGATTTCAGAGGTGAGAAAAGAAAACCCAGGAAAAATGGATTTTAAAATTAGTATTCAGCTGCCTGCTGATCCTGAGTGATCACAGGGTCATCGGTTTGCAGCGAATGTGTTTCCTGCTCTGCCCTGCCTCACACGGGCCTGCGGGTCCAGGCAATGCGCTGTGACTTCACAGTTACTGTTGTCAATGTTCACCAGCAGGAAAGCTCAGGTGCATTTCATTTTGCAACCAAACCAACGTTCTCTGAGGGTGAAGATGGGCGCCAGTATTTACAGGACTTCCAAACACAGCTCATGCTGGATAGCAGTTTCAGTTTGTACTAGTCTACTTTCCTGGGTGGTTTCTAGCAATTAGTTGGGGCATAAAACAATGAATGCCTGTGAGGATTTCCTCTGCAGTAAGAGGTGAACCTTTATCTCTGCTTCCAGAGGGGCAAAGCCCCAGGACAGCTGCTGAGGGAGGCTGAGTGGTGTCAGACTCTGCAGAGTCTCAAAGAAGATACCACATCTGTCTCCAGTGAGTTAGGCAGCACATGTCTGGAGGCCAGGTGCACGGCACTCTGATTTCTGTCAGCTTGAGGCATGTGGACAGGGAAGGGGACCCATTCCTTTGCCTGGAACTGTCATGGGACTGCGTCCGGCCTGCAGTAACAATGAGCTCACAGATCCTTTATTGCTTCTGCAGCTCAAGAGGAACTAAAAACCCAGGAGGATGACCTCCAAGCTGTCAGAGGGACTGTTCAGTGGCCAGCAAACATTTGTGTATTGAATGGGAGACTTGACACCCCAGAATTCTTTTGCTGTCCTTTAGCAAGAAGTGTGACATCTCACACTGCGCTGCTAATCACATTCTCTTGTCACCCCACTCCTGTTTTAGAAGGACTGCTGATCCATCTTCTCACCTTAAAATTTGAATAGAGAAACTGAGAATATCTTATAAGACAGCAGTCCCCAATCTTTTCGGCACCAGGGACCGATGCTCCTATGAGAATCTAATGCCTGATGATCTGAGGTGGAGCTGAGGCAGGGATGTTAGTCCTGGGGAGCAACTGCAAATACAGATGAAGCTTCGTTTGTTCAGTGCCACTCTCCTCCTGCTGTGACAGGCACCAGGGGTTGGGGAATCCCTGTTCTAAGAGTTGGGAAGTCCTCACATCATCTGGTTTTGTACCATTGTTCAAAATCTTCCGAGCTATATTGGTCACACTATTTTCATATTAATCCCTGACCCTTTAGCCGCCATCTTCTTTCTGTAGACTAGTTAACCTTGAATCTAGAAAACTGTGCTAGGAGAAAGCAGAAAAGAGGGACCAACAGGATCCACTTCTTTGGGTCCACAGACTCATAGTCCCATGCTGATTTTCTAGTGGGTCAGTGATCTGAGCAGGGCATTGGAGAGCAATGCCCATGTTGGAACCATGCCCATTTTCATGTATACCCTGAGGACAGAGATGCAGAGACAGACCTGACACCTGGACTGTCATGGTGACCTGGCTTCCATCCATGACTTTGAGATCAGAGAGGCCCTGCAGGAACAGAGGTGCGACGGGCTTGCCAGGAGCTGTGGGCAGAAAATATTCACTCTTCCCGTCACTCTTCTTTTCTGTGGCAGACAACAGAACATGAGGTGAACATTCATTCATTCATTCATTCATTCATTCAACAAACAGAGAGTAAATGACCCCTTGGCACATGACTGTCAGGTTCGGGTTCTCGCCAGAAACTGACTGCTAATAGATGAGGGTTTGGGGGAGGCCCTGGAGATCACTGGGAGCACGATGTGCCAACTTCTCTGCTTGGAATGCTCTTGCCTGATAGTGGGGAAGGAACGAGGCCTCTGCAGGGTCACGCCCAACCTAGGCCCTGGTTCCTCAGGAGAACTTCAAAGGTGAGAAGTCAATATTTGGCATCTTATGAGATTTTTTTCTTAAATTTTATTTACTTTTTTGAACAAGTGATACCCTCACATGGCACAAAATTCAATAGGCACCAAAGAGTACATGCAAAGTCTCCCCTGTCCCTGTCCTCCAGCCATCAGGCATCTATCTCTCCCCAGAAGCAATCAATTTTCAGTTTCTTGTTTATCTTGCCAGAGATGGGCTACGTGTATAACACACATAAGCAAATAGGTAAACTCTCCTTTAAAAAAATAACAGCATAATATACATAATGATTGGCATCTTGCCTTTTCATTTAGCAGTCTATCTTGATGTCTCTCATAAAACAGAACTAAATAGATTCCTCATTGTTTTCTATGACTGCATGATGCTCCATTGCCATCTCATGAGGTGTTAAGCATCTCAAGAAATCCACAGAGAGGACATTCATTAGAAGGGCTTAATTATAAAGACTGATTATCCCAAGCGCTGGTGTTAGAGAGGATATCGAGCAAGTGGAACTCTTGTACACAGCTGGTGCGGATGTAAAATGGTACGGGCCTTTTTAAAAAGAGTTTGGCAGTTTCTTACAAAGTTAAATATACATTTACCATATGATCCAGTGATTCTACTCCTGGGTATTTATACAGGAGCAATGAAAACACATATCCACACAAAGATCTGTACACAAACATTCATAGCAACTTTATTCCTAATGGTTCCAAAATGGAAACAACCCAAATATCCATCAATAAGTGAATGAATATACAAATAGTGATATTGCCACACAATGGAATACTACTCAGTGAAAAAAAAGGAGTGGACCAGTGATAGACACCACCACAAGGACAAATCTCACAAAAAGTACATCGAATGAAAAGAGCTAGACAAAGAAAGAGTACCTACTGGATGATTCCACTTACATAAAATCCTAGGAAATGCAAAATATAGTGACAGAAAGCTGACCAACGGTTGCTTGGGGCAGAAGTTGGGGAGATGGATTATAAAGGGGCACAAGGAAGCATGTGGGGATGATGGAGATGTTCGCTTTTAAAAATTGTGGTGAAGGTTTCATGAATGAAGTTTTCAATCAAACACCAAAAATAGAAGCAGCAAATTGTACATCAATATTATCTCAATAAAAACCAGGGGGGAAAGATCTTTCTGAGAGAGAAGGAGCATACCAGCTGGTCAGAGATAAACTAGAACAACTCTCTGGGTTCAGGGCTGGCCCACTTGCCCCCATTCTGTCCTCTGGGGAGATGGGTTACCAAATAGTTTTCCATTATTCTTGGAACCCTCCCCAAGCTGGGCTCTGACCTACCTGAGCCGAAGGGAAAGCAGCAGCAAAGGGGCTGAGCTGGTGTCTGTTTCCCACATAGGACAGCTATGGAGCAGGACGAGCTCATAGCTGCCCAGTCTCTGATTTTATCCTTTGTCCTCCAGCCAGGTGGCTAATTCTTTTTTTTTTAGCTCTTTTGTTTTTGTCATTTGTTGGGGGCCGGGGTAGAGATAGAGAACGCCATAATATTTCTAACTTAAACTCTTAAGTGTTTGGGGAAAGGGATTCTGGTATTTTGGGTTCTTATCAGCACACAGCCACAAATGTCAGGTCTTCTCCAGGAATCTTGTAGCCATGGGGCTACATTTCCAGGGTGCTTTACATACCTGAGAAAGGCCTAACTCCAAACTTGCTAATGAATTTTTATCTGTTGGCACTGAAAACAAAATATGGCCCACTGCAGAGCTCTCCCAGTGTAGCCTCTCAGAATGAGGCTGGAAGAGGCTGGGAAGGCCTGGGAGGCTAGAGGAAAATTTCCCCCAAGGCAAGTGCATTGTGAAGGGCATGGAGCTGGACCGCAAGGCAGTCAAGACCAGAGGATGGGCTCAGGCCCCCCGCTTCCCTGCCCCAGCCCCCATCATGGCTGTTTCTGACAGAGGGTCGGACAGGCAGACTTGGCAGAAGGCCCCAGAAGTGGGCTAGGGGATTCAGTATTGGATATGCAGAGATCTCGTTTCTCTTACTGGGCCAGGAAAGCAAGCTGCCTCGGGAGAGTTGAGGAATTTCCTGTCTTGCACAGACTGAGAAGGCTTAAGGACAAAATGTTTTCGCCTATCCAGAGTCCTCCCTGTTCTCCCCTCTCCACTTCACAGAGTCCCCAGCTTCACAGAGTTCCATGCAGATACACTCTTAATCCTAGGTGCTGCAGGAACATCGAAAACCCTAGTTCCTTCTCCTTCGAGGCAGTGGTGGCTCCTCTTTGGCCCCTGCCCTCTCTCAGGTCTTCCCACTGCCCAGTGTCCTGGCCTGGGGCTTTGGCAAAGCCATGTTACCCTATGGGTCTCAGCCAGTGAGGACTATAAGCATATCTGTGCCTCCTTCTCCTGAGAGGTGGCCTGGGCACTGCCCCACACGTGACAGCTCACTGGTTCTCCAAAAGCCATCAGAAAGCTAGGATCTGAGGCCGAGTCACTGCCTCTCTCTGAAGCTCAGCATCCTCATCTGTATCATCACAGGACTTTCGGAGTTTTAGAGAAAATGTGTGAAAACACTTTTTAAGACTATTCACCATCAATAATAACACTTCAGTGAGGCTGGCCCAGAGCTGACTCACACCTATCCACTTGGGCTTAATTATATGGTGAGTTTATCAGTAGTGGCAACAGAACAAATGGAGATTGGGCCTTGTCAAAGGATTACGGGCGTTTTTTTTTTTTACGTGACCTGAGGCAAATACTGTTAGGAATACAGAAGCATTGCTTAAAAATATCATGGGATATATCTAAAGTAAATAGAGAACAAATTTTCATTGTACTCCCTTCAGGAGAGAAAGGCAGTCACTGAATTTGTGGGAGCCAGCCTGGGGCAGCCATTTAGTTGCAATGTCACTCATGGCCTCTGGCCCTGTTCTTTCTTCCCCAAGGCCCCACGGCAAGAAGGAGGGAAGAGGGACCCGACTAGGAGTAACTTTGCTAGATGAACCTGTTCTCAGACCTGCCGTTTGGGATCACATGGGTCTCAAGTGACTGAATCCAGACTTGTGAATGGCTGAGTCATCCCCAGCATTCCTATGCCCCAAATTATTCACGGGGTATGAAAACCAACCAACCTTCTTCCCTAGAAACACATCTGCGCTGGGAATTGGAGTCAGTGAGGATCACAGTTTTTGGGCAAGCAGCTTTCTTTAGGAGCCCTGAGAAAAGCAGTCCTAATAGCATCCTGAAACCCCAGCCCAAGCCCACTACCCTGCTTCAGTGACTGAGAGGCCAAGATGTGCTCATGTAGAGTGACTTGCTCAAAGTCACATAGTCTGTTATAGGCAGACCCAGAGCTAATTCCCGGGCCTTCGGACAGCAAGGCCAAACTGTCCTAGAGGCTGTCCCTTCCAAGGGAACCAGCCTTCTCCAGTGATGCCCATAGTGAACTCTCTATGAGGACAAATGTATTACCTGCTAACCACATCCTAGACCCTTGACAAGGGAGAAATGCTAAAGCAGACCAGGCAAGACAGGCAAAAAAAGGGCAGTGTGTACATATTCCATCTAATTCCAAAGCCAAACAATTTATACTGACTCATCTGTGGCCTATAGATCAGACATCAGTTTATGCTCACTCTCATGTGGTTGTAGATAAAATAAGAAGACAGATGGACACGGGCGCTCTGAACACATGGCTCTAGCTCTGTGAGCTAAAGCAAGTTCCCCACCTAAGCCTCAGTGTCGTCTCCTCTAAATTACTGATAATATAATTTTCATCAATTATTGATGATAACATAATATTGATAAGTGTACTGTACATATCATCGGTATCACCCATGATAAATACTGCTTGGTTTTTAGATGATTAAAAGAAATAACATGTAAAACAGCTAGAACGATATCTGGCATATAATAAGTATAAAAATAAATGTTTCGTGCCTTTCCTAATCCAACTGATCTTTTTGGTTGCAAACTCAATCACACAATAACTACAATGAGAAAAGACTCCCCAAATGAGGACATTCACATTTAATCAGGCAGGGATCTGAGAGCCACCACTGAGATAACATTATGATAATTCTTTACAAATTTCAGCACTTCAAGAGTCTAAAGGATGCTCATGACTCTGTTCAGTGTTATCCTCAACTTCTTCTGAAATGGAGGAGATTGTGTGCCCATTTTACAGTGGAAGGAGCTGAGGCTCAGAGAAGGAAGCTGCCCACTCCCCACCCCTCGCCCCAAGGTCTAGGGGTTGACGTGGCTCTGGTCTGAGCTCTCTCCTTCCACTGTCCTGAGAACACAGGCGAGCCACCTAGATTCCACAGGGAGCCTTCCGTCATTGTGCTCATTCCCAGAGTCACCAATTACTCTAGAGATGTGCTCTTGTGGGGCAGTGCTTTAGCTGTCATCTGTCACCACCCTCGTTTAAGGCAGGGTAGGAGGACGAGGGTCTGAGGTGAGGGTCCTAGCGGCAATGGCACCTCAGGGAACCTGAGCCTTCTTCATTTGGGGAGGGCAGGTACCGGCCATGGTGCACAAATAGCTAAGGAGGGGTCTCTGGGACCCAGGAACAGACTTGTTGCCCAGCTCAAATGGGACCAGATTAAATATACCCCAGGTTTCCCCCACAGCTGTGCTTCCTGCTGCTCTGATGAGACCAAACCCAGAGAGGGCCTACTCTCTGGAATCCAGGAAGGGCTGGACCTCCTTGACTTACTGGCCTAGGATTAAAGATTTAAAGTGTACA